GGTCCCGGAGGCCGCTTTCTCCATCTCACCTCCCACCACTTGACTTTTTAATCAATAACACCATTTCTAGGGGTGTTGTTGACACCACCCGCCGTGTCACGTCAGCTTTTAGCAGGGGATGGCGACCCTGGGAGTAACAGACACACGGGTAAAGCAAAGCCCCGAGGCAAGCCCAACTCAGATTTGGGGTAAAAAAAGGCCTAAAGCGGCAACGAGCCAGCTTTAAACTCCAGAGATGACATGGGGTGGTCCCAGCCACGGGACCCCCCAGCAGCAGAGGGTTAAGCAGGACTCAAAACACAAGGTTCTCCTTCCCAATTCTGCCACCTCTAATGTAATTTAAACACCTGCCTCAGCCTGAATCCCATTGTTTGGTGTGGGGTTTTTTTCCCTAAAATTTTCCATTCCCCTTGTGGGCTCTTCGATCCGACGCAGGATTGGGGACAGACACACAGAAAAAAAGTGTGTGCAAGTATTACTGAGCAACGAGCCAGCTTTAAACTCCAGAGATGACATGGGGTGGTCCCAGCCACGGGACCCCCCAGCAGCAGAGGGTTAAGCAGGACTCAAAACACAAGGTTCTCCTTCCCAATTCTGCCACCTCTAATGTAATTTAAACACCTGCCTCAGCCTGAATCCCATTGTTTGGTGTGGGGTTTTTTTCCCTAAAATTTTCCATTCCCCTTGTGGGCTCTTCGATCCGACGCAGGATTGGGGACAGACACACAGAAAAAAAGTGTGTGCAAGTATTACTGAGCTGAAAGAAAAGCTTGGAAATGAGTGAGGGTTGGGACCATGCTCCAAAGCTGCGCGTGCCCAGGAGCCCCGGGGATGGAAAAACCCCACAGAGTAAGAGAATCACAGAATCTTCCAGGTTGGAAGGGACCTTAAAGATCATCTTGTCCAACCATCAACCTAACTGACAAAAATAGACACCCACACAACAAACAAGGAGCATCATCACTAAACCAGACCTCCCAGCACAAGACATTCTCTGGTAGAACCCCCTGGCGTAACTTGAGGCCATTTCCTCTTGTCCTGTCGCCTGTGACTTGAGAAAAGAGACCGACCCCCATCTCTTTACACCCTCCTTTCAGGGAGTTGGAGAGAGCAATAAGGTCTCCCCTCAGCCTCCTCTTCTCCAGGCTGAAAACATCCCATGGGAAGAGGGAAGGAGCTGGAAGGAAGCAGAGTAGAAGAGCACGAGGGAGGAAGAACCCAAAATGGTTAGTCTGTCCCCTCTCCACGCTAGACTACTCCCACAAAGACATTCTCCACCAGAGCTTCACCCACTCCAGGATATCTCAAGGGTCCGTGCTGGGGCCGGTGCTGTTTAACATTTTTATCAATGATATAGACAGGGAGATTAAAGGCACCATCAGCAAGTTTGCGGACGATACCAAGCTGTGTGGTGTTGTCGATACACCAGAGGGACGGGATGTCATCCAAAAGGACCTGGACAGGCTGGAGAGGTGGGCCCAGGTGAACCTCATGAGGTTCAACAAGAGCAAATGCAAGGTTCTGCACCTGGGCCGGAACAATCCTCGCCACCAATACAAACTAGGGGGTGAGGGATTGGAAAGCAGCCCTGAGGAAAAGGACTTGGGGGCTCTGGTGGAGGAGAAGCTGGACATGAGCAGGCAGTGGGAGCTACAGGAAGGCTGGGGAGAACCTGTTTAGAAAGGCCTGCAGTGACAGGACGAGGGGCAATGGCTTCAAGCTGGAGGGGAACAGATTTAGACTGGAGATGAGGAGAGGGTTCTTCACTGTGAGGGTGGTGGAGCACTGGAACAGGTTGCCCAGGGAGGTGGTTGAGGCCCCATCCCTGGAGATATTCAAGGAGAGGCTCGATGAGGCCCTGGGCAACCTGGTCTAGTTGGGGGTGTCCCTGCTGACTGCGGGGGGGTCGGACTAGATGACCCTTGGAGGTCCCTTCCGGCCTGGGCAATTCTATGATTCTATGATTCTATGATATTTTTGAAGCTCTGTTAGGAACCGGGAAGGAAGCAGAGGCTTAGCGACAGCATCGGGAATGCTGGTCGGTGCTGGAGAGGGGACGGGGACAGCATGCTCAGGGCCCCGAGGTTTGCTGAGCTGTCAGGAGGCTGGGGGTGGGACATCAGAAGAGCATCCAAGGACCCAGGACACCTCCAGCACCAACCAGTAGGTTATTAGCCCACAGAGAGATCCATGCTCACCCCAGCAGCCCTGACCATGGCCATCAAACACCTTCTCTGTGCAGGAGGAGGCAAGTGATCTGAAAAAAAAACCCCATAGTTTTTTTGGAAACCCAAGTCGTAAACCCAACTTTACAACTTTCACCTTGTAACAACTTGGAAAGCCAAGTTTACAGACATCACACGGGTCCTGCGCCACAGAAAGGGACTCGGCTTTGGTTTGGACTCGTGGACCATCAGAACGTCTCAACCTTTGTCTCTGGGTAAGACTCGGGACTGGGCCCTCCTTTCCCTTTCAAGCTGTCGTAGCGTTTCAGGACCCACAACTGGAAACAAACCCTTCTCCCCCTCTGCTCTGCACTGGTGGGGCCACAACTGTGTCCAGTTCTGAGCTCCCCAGTTCAAGAGAGACAGGGAACTGCTGGAGAGAGTCCAGCATAGGGCAACAGAGATGATGGAGGGATTGGAGCATCTCCCTGATGAGGAAAGGCTGAGAGAGCTGGGACTCTTTAGCCTGGAGAAGAGAAGGCTGAGGGGAGACCTTATTCATGCTGACAAGGATCTAAAGGGTGGGTTGAGGGAGGATGGACCAGGACTCTTTCCAGTGGTTCCCAGTGACAGGACAAGGGGCAACGGGCACAAGCTGGACCATGGGAAGTTCCACTCCAATGTGAGGAGGAACTTGTTTGGGGTGAGGGTGGCAGAGCCCTGGCAGAGGCTGCCCAGGGAGGGTGTGGAGTCCCCTTCCCTGGAGACCTTCAAGCCCCGCCTGGATGCTCCTGAGTGATGTGCTCTGGGCAACCCTGCTTTGGCAGGGGAGTTGGACTGGATGGTCTCTAGAAGGTCCCTTCCAACTCTGACAATGCCGTGATTCTGTAATTACAGCCCTGGCTCAAAGTGGGGTAAAACAGAAGAAGAACAGAGCTTTTGGGGAGAGGGGCCCAGAGGCCAGAGTGTCTGCAGAAGGCTGGTGGCTTTGCCTCCTGCCAGCAGGACAGGAACATGGAGAGCCTTGGCTTTAGGAAGCACCCGACTGCAATTTCTTGGCTTCCTGGCTCCCCCAGGCTTGGTCTGAAGCTTTTTTATTGGGAGATACAATTAGCTTAATAAGGGAACGATTTTCTCTTTGGTCAAATTGAATCCTTCCAGCTTGGAGAAGGCTGTGTTTTTTACTGTTGATGTTGATGGCTAAATTTAGCCCATCCAGTCCCTGCTGCAGTACAGCGACTTTCTCTCCAAGAGCCCCATTTCTAACAGTTTTTTACTCCTGACAACTTGACTCTGTAGCACGGTGAGGGCTGAAGTGTGTTCCCTCCACGGAGCCCTCCAAGAGGAGGAGCCTGGAGAAGAATCTGGAGGACTCTTGGGGCTGAGCTTGTCTATTCTGCAGAAACAAGCTGTGGGATGACACAGGAGCCCTTCTTCCAGCCGTGGAAAAAAGCATCTCGCCTTCATCTGAAGCAAGGTAAATTAAATCCTCTTAAATAAGAGAATGTGAGGTTCTGCTGAAGGACAGTTCTGCTGAAAGAGTGCATCAGGAAGAGTGTGAGCAGCAGGTGGAGGGAGGTCATCCTGCCCCTCTGCTCTGCCCTGGGGAGGCCC